TGGTCCTGACGCAAAGCCTTTCACCAGTAGAGAAATATGTTTTTTATCACCGCAACGATCTTGCTACGCTCCAATTACAAATGTTGAAAGATTCATAGTGTAAGACACAATTAATTCTAGCTGCGAGGTACTGGCTTTATCAGTAGGATCAGTAGTAATTTATTAAGTGCTGTAGCTAAATACAGTACAGGATTTGGGCTTCTCTCACACTCAACTCGGTAGGTCTTCCACTGTTGGCCAGTCCAGGAACAAAGGAGGACCACAACAGTGCTGGTCAAAGAGTTCATGTCAAAGCAGTGGTACAGTTTGTCCTTTTTCTTTCCAAGCAGTATTTCACGACAAGACTGAATGTTACTCTTCGTCTTTCTTTCTGAGATTTTTTTTTTAACCTGGTGAAACAAAAGCACAACTGCTCTAGATCCTGTTGAGGCAGATATGGGTCGCTTCTCTCATACAGCCGAGAACATAACGTAACATGACGTTTGTGTTTTTTTCCTTTCCTTTGGTAGAAATACGTAAGTGCGTGAAAAAAGAAATCATAACATTCTCAGTTTCACATATAAAACAGTGCTTAAATAATGGTCCTATAGTAAAACGACAGCAGCCAACCAGTCTTATCAGTGAGCTATTAGGCATAAAACTAAGCTTAACTTGTAACTTCCAGAACCCAAAGGAGAAATGTAAGGCCCATAATGCATTTTATAGGTGCTATGTACATCCCTCATCTGTGAATATACCGATTCAGTCAGCCACCCTTTCAGAAATATGTAGCAAGAGGCATCATTCTCCATCATTCTCTCAGAACAGATGAGTTTATGTCTCCGTGTCTGCATCTCTTCCATGTTAATTACAAAGCCGATGAAGACAACAGAATATGTGATGGAGGGCCAGTTTGCTTGCTCTGTTTTTAAATTGCCCTTAAAAATGTAATCCTAATGCCTCATTGAACTAAATCAGAAGGACTTACGCAGGAAAGTCAGTTGAATAACACGGAAACCTGATATTTCTTGTGTTTGTGTGACATTTACTGGCCTGCCTTATCTCCAGCACACCATGTCCCCAGCGACCATGTTTAAGGCCTGGGGATGGCCAAAGCTCAGTTGACTCGTATGAAAAAAGAGAGGAGGAAAGGATGATGGTGTGTATGCATCTTCCCCTGGCTTCCACAACTTTTCCTTTGCTTTAGTGAAGCCTCTTCTCATTTATACAGGCATAACAAGGGAATCCTGTTCTATATGCCTACTTGTGTAGTACTTGGGACATGAAGCGTATCCCTTTGTACCAACAAGAAACATCAGATTTCCATCTCTCTAACGGACCTCTCAATTAGCAAACGCTGCCCCATTTGATCTCAAGAGCTGTTACATACACTGGCAGTCAAAAGATCAACTTTTGCTAACCAATGTTCAGAAAAAATTATTTCTCCAGTGCTGAATCTTTTCCATGTTCCTATTGAAAGCGACCCACTTAATAGAGCATGTTAAAAAGATGTTTCCTCCGCTTCTTTTAGAGCACCCGCAGTGTCTGCTGTTTTTCAGCAGCCTACAGAGCTCGCTTGTCATGGGCCCCTTCAGACCCAGTCCGTTGGCTGAATTTTCTCCATAGTTGTGCAGAAGGGAAGGGCAACGACATCCGCTCTTGGACACCAGGTTATTCCTGTGCTCGCTCATCTCACGCAGCAGTACGTTAAGATTTGTTTGCCTTGAAAACTGTAGGGTAAAGACAGTCACTGCATCTACCAGGTATTTCCTGTATAGGACTAGCTCTTACTTTTCCACAGAAAGGTTGAAAACACTGAAAGCAAACGCTGAACACTGGGGCTAAAATACTCACCCATTATCCAAGCAGACGGGCAGATGGGCAATGGCCGCACTATGGCTGAGTTGTTAACCCACCTCCTTCCAGATTTTCACTCAATGCTGTGCGTGCCATGGAGGAGAAAAGTTGGAGCATCTTTTGGCTTTCTGCAGAACAGACAGGCTAGGCTGCCTCAGTGTGTAACTGAGCAGCAGAGGTTCAGTTGCCTTTGAGCAAAGGATGGCCAGGAGCGCCGCAGCTCTCGGTGCAACTCCTATCCTTATGGGAAGAAAGGTTTCAAGGGGCTGATGCATTGTTTTCTTCCTTCCTGCCTATTTTCCTTGTGCCACACACGAGACCTGAATCGTGTGGCATGCACTGTACTGAAAATAGATTTATTTTGGTATCAGACACCTCACTCAACTTCTTCCATCACCTCTACTCGGCACCCTTTAAACAACAAACTTAGCATATGTATATTATAGACGCCTTCATTTATAAGTAATATATTTGAGTTGCAAAATATATATATATATATATATTCACAACTGATTGCCTCTGTGTTCCCACTTACTGTCCTTTCTTCTTTGTCTCCTTTTTTGATATATGGGACGGCGGTGTATTTACGTAAGGGGATATCAGCTCCCGTATTTAAAGCAAGTGTATTACGGTCGGTGTCATAAGAGACAGATGATCTGTAGCTTCTTACAGTGCTGCATTATTCATAGCAAACTCTAATTTAACAACAGGACCACAAGCAAATATTTCTGTAAATAGATATTTTCGTGTTGATATTTTGTGGTACTCATATAACTTTTTATTTAGAGTTCCATGGCATTACTTCTTCATTTTCTTATTTGTAATGTAATGTTTTTAGATCCAAGTAGACTTGAATTAATGTCATAATTGTCAGTATTATTAAACTTTATGTCGACTGTACTGTTACTCATCGTCCCATAGGTTTAGAACACGATAGCTATCTGGCATTGTTGCAAGTGCCTTAAATCCATGGCATCCTATAACAAAATACAAATTTGGTGTTATGCTGCATGACAAAGACAAACACACCTCAAAATGTTGTCCTTTCTTAGCTTGCTGCGTTTTACAGTTCTTTCTGCTGACAATTTATAAGCCTTTATTATATGATATTGATGAACTACAGAAATGATGAAGTCGTTCTCTTATTTCTGTTAAATGTACCAGAGCTGTGTATCTGTTAATGAGATACAGAGTCATTTCTGTGAAATGTATAAATGTATGTGCGGGTCAAATTAATATATGACATCCTATCAGTCTGTACACAGGTATTCCTGTTCCGCTATGCTGTGCAGCTCCAGCCCATCGTGCAGTCCAGCTCCCATCATCTTTTATAAACCCACACTCAATATCCTGCCCAGAAAAAAAAAGATGAGCACCTGAATGCAACTTGCCACCAAGTCTCTGTCATGAAACCAAATGCCCCTACAAAAGCAAATGCCCCCCTGGGGGACGCAGCACCACAGAGCTGCCCAGAGCCTCCTCACTTCTCCCAGCAGCCCAGCGGGTGCTGTGCTGAGACATGGGCAGCTCCAGGCATTAGCAGCCAAAGGGAAATGTCATTCGGAGTTGTCTCGTCCTGAGTCCAATCCATGCTGTTCTGACACTGGTCCTTTATTTTTGTGTTCTTATTTCTCTGGTTTTTGTATTATGATGGATTCTACATAAAAGAGTTTTTTGTTTGTCAGGAAAAAAAAGGTCTGTCATTCAACGGTTGTTGACCAGTTGCACTCTTTTGATGTAGATTTAAGAACTTTTTTCATGAACTTAACCGCTTTTGTTTTGCTCTGTATTTTCCCTGCAGCTGTAATTGCTGAGTGCCTGTTGTATACTTTATAGAGTTGAAATAAAAATAATTACTTTTGAGCAGCGCGTTGACATCTGTCTTCAGCAGGAGTCAGCTTGGGGCTGGTTCTGCTGTTCGGTTGGGTTATTTTACCCTGCTTTGTGGTGATCTGCAGTAGGAGATAGTTAACCAAGCAAAGTGTGGTGTGACACTGCAGGAAGCTGTGGTTGCCGTGGTCAGTAGGCAGTGGCCATGGGCACCCCAATGGGCAGGCGGGGGTCCTGCATCACACATCATGGGCATCTCCAGCCCACATTACTCCATGATCACACTGAGCAATAAGCATCTTTACAGCACGTTTGATCTTCAGGGGTGAACAGTACACCCAGTGTTTTATGTGCTGCCATCAGCAGCAGGGCATGAAGAGCACAGAGACCCGATGCCAGTTGTGATCAACACCTACACCAGAGTGGCTCACAAGTGATGCTGCCTCTGTCCCTGCTGTCATGCAGGATGAATGATGGGAGAGGGGAAGGCAAAAAGCTGGCACTTTGCAAGGATACAGGGCTGGTCCCCTCCTTCTGAGCGGAATGCATTGGGGTCGGCGTAAGTGTGGCAATGGCGTGTAATGCTTGCTAGCAGCTGCAGCAGACACCAGGTTTTGGCCCAGTGGGACGTGATGGTGATGGGCTTGATCCCCCCAGGGTCTGCTCAGACCACGAGCACAGCTGGGGCTGCGTTTTCCCCCAGAACATTCAATTTAAAAAATAAAAGGGGGAAAAAAAAAAAAAGAAAGAAAGAAAGAAAGGAGGAGCACGACGCTACGGGCGCGCGTGGCCAACGGAGTTCTTCTCGCCGCCGTTCCCCGTCGTGGCCGCCAGGGGGCGCAATGGCGCAGCCGCGCCGTCGGGGGGCCCCGAGGGCGAGGGGCGGGGGGAGCCGCGCCCCTTTGATCTCCGCGCATCAAAGGCACAGCCTGGCCCGGCCCCGCTCCCCCCGCCGCGGCGCGGTCCCCCCCGGCCGAGGTCAGCCGAGTGCACGGGGGGGCTCCGACGGGGCGGGCTCTCTTCCAGCCCCCCCAAACTCCGCGGGGCCGGGGGTGCTGAGTGGCCCCTTCCTGCGGGTCTGCGCTGGCGCCAGGAAGGGAGCGCGGCGGAGCTGCCGCCGCCGTTGCGAAATCCCCTCCCTCGGGGGGGGGGGAACAGCGGCACAGCCCCCCGGGGCCCTTTGAAATCCCATCCCTCCTCCCCGAAGGGCGGGCGCAGGAGGCAGCCCCCCGGGTATAAAGAGGCGGCGGCGGGCAGGTAGTGCTGCTCGGGGGCAGGGAGCGCAGCTCGGAGTTACGGACGGGACGGGGCGGACGGGTCGGGACGGACGGGCGATGCGGGCTCTGCTGGCGCTGCTGGCGGCCCTGAGCTGCGCGGGGCGGGCGGGGGCCGGCGGCGGCCTCAGCTCCAACGCCATCAAGGTGGGGGCGGCCGCCAGCGCCGCCCCCGCCGCCGCCGCCCCTGCGCCCTTCGACGGCAGCAACAAGGCGCCTCCGGCCGCCACCCGGCAGGTAGGAGCGGGGCGGCCTGGGGGCTGCCGGGGGTTACCGGGCGGTGGGAAGCGGCGCTGACCCTCTGCCCGCCCGCAGCCCTTCCCCTGCTCCGAGGACGAGGACTGCGGCCCCGACGAATTCTGCGGAGGGGCGGCCCGCGGCGGCGGCCCCCCGCTCTGCCTCGCGTGCCGGAGACGCCGCAAGCGCTGCCTACGCGACGCCATGTGCTGCCCGGGCACGGCCTGCAGCAACGGTGAGGGGCGGCCGGGCCGTGGGGCGCGCGCTGGGCGGGGAGGTGGGGGGGAACACGCGGGGCTGACGGCGCTGCTTCCCCCTCCCCACCCCGCAGGGCTCTGCACGCCCCCCGAGCCCCCGCCCGGCGTTCCCGAGCTGGACGAACCCGGCCCAGAGGCGCTGCCCCGACGGACGCCCGCGCCCGCCTGGCCGCCCGACGCCAAAGGTAAGCACGGCCCCGGGGAGCGGCGCGGCCGCAAGGCGCCGTCGGAACTCGGCGCTGACCTCCCTCCTGTCCGCAGGTGAGGAGGGCGACTTCTGCCTGCGGTCGTCGGACTGCGCAGCGGGGCTGTGCTGCGCCCGCCACTTCTGGTCCAAGATTTGCAAACCCGTGCTGCGCGAGGGGCAGGTGTGCACCCGGCACCGCCGGAAAGGAGCCCACGGCCTCGAGATCTTCCAGCGCTGCCCCTGCGCCGAGGGTATGGCGTGCCGCCCGCAGCGCGACCGCGGCGGTCCCGACGCCTCCCGCCTGCACACTTGCCAGCGGCACTGAGCGACACCGGGGGGCAGACCGAGGATGGACGAACGGACGGAAGGACAGACGGGGGGATGGACTCTGGCCCCGCTCGTGAGAGCTCCCCGCTGTGCGCACAGCTGGAGCAGAAGGTTGTTTCTCGAGGGAACTACTCTTAAGCGACTGATTGCAGTACGTTACTGTGTTGTGAATATGGAGGTGGCACTTAGTGTACAGACGTTCTGAGCGAGCCTCCCGGACGCTCCTCCAGCCAGGACTGGGACGTGGTATGCGCTGGGTTTCCAGTTGCTCTCGATGGACGCAGCCGCCCCTTCAGGTGAAGGGCAGCCCAGGCTGCGCTGTGCCACGCTCCGGGGCGATGCCCTACGGAGGCGGCGGGGTCGCAGAGCGGGACCTCAGCGGCCCCGGCCCTGAGCCGTGCGGTCGCGCCGCTCTGGGCACAATAAAGTTCTATTTTTCGCTTCGCCTGGCAGTACATCGCTCAGTTCTTCCCTCTGGGGTGGTGGTGTGGAGGGAGGGAAGGGTGTGAGTGGGAGCTCTCCCGGCCCCTTGCAGTGCCGTCTGCAGGAATGCTCCCGAAGCACAGCATCCCTTTGGTGTTTTACCGCGACCTGACCTCCGGTACTAATGCCTGTGGCATTAACTCTCCTGCTTAGAGACCTCTGGGGCTACCCAGACTGCTGACATATCGGGGACAGAGCCTGACAGAGCTACCTGCAATATGTCCGTGCACCGAGAGTGACTGCTGTCAGAGAGTGGCTGAGGTTGGCACTGGCTGACCCAGCCCAGCACTGAGCCAAGGGAATGGGTTCAGGGCAGCTGTGCTCACAGTGCAGGGAATGGATTCTCCCAGTGCTGCAGCCTGAACCGGTGCTTGGAGCATCCCAGCCAGTGAGGTCATGCTTCAAAGGCTTGAGCACTGCAGTTACTTTTATAAGTAGTTGTTTTTTTTTTTTAAAAAAAGCACTGTTCTACAAGCAGTTGCAATTGTGCCCAACACCAGTCACTCACGCTGGGGCAGTGTCAGCAGCTGGCTGTGTGCAGAGGCACGGGTGGTATTTAGATGCACTCAGCTCTGGTGCTGAGGTGATGTATTTCGTCTCTGACATACAGAACAGTATCATTCAGTTCAGCACCGCAGCGCATCAAACCTTTCCCACTCACCTATTCACTTTTCGCATCCTCTCCGTGAGCACAGCCCTCGGGCCGCCCCTTCAGCCGCCGGGCAGCAGCTCCACGTCCCCCTGCAGGGGGTTATGGGGAGCAGAACACGCACTGATCAGACTTGGAAAGGACGGGCTGAAGCGGTCCCCTTACTTTGAATTTACTACTGCCTGCACGCGGCTCAACTGCCGCGGCTCGTTGACATCAGTGTCTCAGGATGGCATCGGTGAAATGATTCACCGGGGAGAAATAAAAGATCAAAGCATGAGCAGGAGACACAATAAGCAGGTTTTGTTGGGGGGGATGGATGGGGGGGGAGGGGGGGAAGAGGCTTAGCACCCCTTGTTTATGCGCTGCTCCTGGTCATACAGCTGAAAGCATTATCAGAGGTGATCTAAGAAGTTATATATCATTACTGGCACTGATAAACAGTAAAGCTGTTCTTTGTTTTCAGAGCAGCAGAAGAGCATCTAATACACGTTCCCCATCTGTCAGAGGTGTGCATTATTGCTGAGGCACTGTGTGCATGGTTTGATGTGTGACATTTCTGTTAGAGCCTATGGTGTGCCCACTTCAGTACCATGGTCCATGTGGGGCCGTTCTGGAGGTGCCTGCATAGGCTGGGCTGGACTTTGGAGCTCTCTGAGAGCGGCTGAGCCTTCCAGAGGGATGATTCAGCAGGAGGGGGCTGGTGGAGGGCTCAGCCTCTCCAAAGTGATGCATATCACTGTTTACTGACTACTGCTTTTTTTGCAGCTTCCACCCCCCCAGTGCCTGAGCTGTGTCCCTAATTAACAGCAGAGGATGAGACGAGGACAAGCCAGAGCCTTTGGGATGCTTCTGGGCAGAGCCCGGGGAGGGACCAGACCCGTTAGCGGCTGATTGAGGTGAGTAATTAGGCATCGGCATGCAAATGGGCACAGCCCACGGAAAGGCTCAGCTGGGAGTCAGGGATGCTTGTAGGACTGAGCCCCTTCGGTTCCAAGCTGGGTCAGGAGAGGATTTCCCCCGTTTGAAATAACGAGGGGAGCAACTAATTATTGCTTTTTGTCTGTTTTTTTAGGTACTGGCACCGCAGGGCCCTGCAGTTGGCTGTTGGCTCTTAGAGAACGTGTTGTGGGGCTACAAGCATGTGGGTGTCAGGCACACAGAAAGCACTGCTTTACTGTTTTCTTTTCTTTTTAATTTTTAACTAAGCTTCCTTTCAAGATGCTGATTTTCAGAAGGGTAAGTAGTTGTACAAGAGCTCCAGCACTGGAAACATGACCCTTGGCAAACTAGGCCTCCAACCCATCGATCCTCCTTCCTGATTTCCTCCTCGGAAAGTGAAAAATCCATCTTTGTCATGCCTGATGGAGGGCTCCTAGCAGAGCACTTTGTCTGCCCTCACCAACAGGCGGATGTGCTTTCAAAAACACAAAATGGAAACATTTGATTCTACTGCATGCTTTTCAATTAATATCCCTGTTGGGGGTTTTATGAGAATTATAATGGCTTTGGCGTGTTTTGAGTCCCTCAACAAAGAATGAAAAGCCTTCTCAAGCCAAAATGTAGTATACGTTCAAAAATGGATTTGTTTGTTATTTTTTAATCCTGGGCAACAGTGCAACACAGGCATTCCTGTGTTGTTTTGACCTTGTGCCTTACAGTTAGTTCTCCATCTCCTATTGATTCCTTCTGCTGCTCTGCACCTTTCCAGCTGGCCCCATGAGGTTAGGGGGGCACTTCAAGGTGACAACCCGGTGAGAAGTCAGATGGTCCTGGCCAGGTGGGTTCTGGACTCCGGTTCTCGTGCCCAGGCTCTTTTCTCTGACTCTTCCCCATGCACTGCATTACAAACCAGCTTTAGGCAGTCCTGATGGCTCAACCCACGCTGACCCTTCCCTGTGGCTCTGCTGTCCCAGGCACCGCACATTTCTGAGGCTCAGCTGCACCAGCTAGAGGAATGCCTGGCCATAAATGTTCATGCAAGAAACTCAGTTCCTTCTGGCCAAGGTCCAGCCTGAGCAGGGAATGAGCAATGTGATAGCGAACAAACCCAGATCCCTTCCCCTATTTGGACACTTGCATCTTGCATTCAAGGATGCACAGGCTGTGCTCAAAGTGAAGAGCCCAAGAAGATCCCTTGTCCCTCCAGAGGGATCACTTAATCTCTAACCTTTTTTTTTTTTTTTCTCGTCAAGACAAAGCACTGATATGAGCAATATTAAAGTATTTTTTCCCCCCATGGGTTGGGGAGAGCTTCCAGTCCCTGCTTGGAGACGTGCTTTTTGGGGGTAGATAGGGACATATTGTGGAATCACAGAATCATAGAATGGCCTGGGTTGAAAAGGACCACAATGACCATCTATTTTCAACCCCCTGCTATGTGCAGGGTTGCCAGCCATCAGACCAGGCTGCCCAGAGCCACATCCAGCCTGGCCTTGAATGCATCCAGGGATGGGGTATCCACATCCACAATCTGTTCCAGTGCGTCACCACCACTTCTGCCTCATAAATCTTATGTCTGATCACAAAAAAGCAATAGGGGTATGAAAGGGAAGCCCTGGCAACCTGAATTACTGATGTTTTAATTCTTGCTTTAGGATTTTTGTATTCCCCCAAAGGAGCTCAGAAGCAGTTAACATCATGCCCTGCACAGAGGCATCGATAGGAAGATGTAGGGTGGGTTCCCAGCGGACTCACACTAGGATTTCCCAGGCTCTGTCCTTATGCTTCTGGAAGCCAAAGTGGTTGATGGGAAGAGAAAAATTCCTCCTGTAACTCGTGGCACTGAAATACTAGTCATGTGCACAGAAAATTTCTTCAGATGAGGGTTTTTTGGAGCTGTAAACACATTCACATGTATTTTTAGGTATCGTGTTCTTAAAAAATATCATTCAGTCCAGCTTTTGAGTGTAAATCTTGCTCAGACCCCTTTTTAAGCCCATCAGGATTTTTCTGGTCGACTTACGTTGTGGCATCATGGCACATAGTTTCGACAGGTTCCTTATTTCCCAGCAGAATCTCATGTTCCTTCCTCTGCTAGCAGTTTACTGACCTGTTGAATATTGAGTTACTTGCTGCCCTCTAGGTTCTTATTTGACCTTTTGTTATTAGAGCTCATAAAAGAAAAGCCAGGAAGCCAGTAGTGCATATTTGAAAGCCCAGGTATTATCTGCAGCCCTCATGTTTGTATGTGTTTTATTTTTTCCCCTGTTCAACAGATCAAAGTCACTACACTTTGGTTCTGTGTTTGGGAAAAGCCCACATTCTGCCCCAGGAGTTTTCTAACTTCACACAGGGTCTCATTGGCAGGTCCTGTGGTGGTGATGTGTCCCACAGGCTAACAGTGTGTGCCCCACCTGCTTCACAGATATGAATGTGTCTGTGTAACACAAGCACTGCCCTCAGACCAGAGAACCTGGGCTCAGTAAGTATTTAAACCCACGCTGGCAGTGGGGCTGGCCCCACGGTGGTGTTTCTGATGGCCTTCTTCAGCTCCTCTGTTTAGGTCATTCTTCACTGTGCCAGAAACGCTACAGCCTAGGAAGGCAAACTCTTCTTATTTAGGTGTCTTGATCTGTATTTAGATCAGAGTCTGCCTTAAGCTGTGGGAAAACATTGCCTGTGGATTTAAAGAACGTTGTTTAAGTAATGTAAATAGTAAAGCAAGATGCTTTCAAAGCTGGAGTTTCCTTTGTTGTCACAACTTCTTACTGCTGTGTAGTCCATTATTGTTAAATACCTTCACTGTCATTAAAAAACAGCACCTTCTCATCATAGAGTTAAGTGCATTCTGTAGGAAAGTGTGGGTAACTCAATGACCAGAGTTTTTTATTTCTTTTATATTATACTTTAAATAGAAAAATACATTGGTTTGCATACATTTCAGTTTTATTACCTCCTTGTTAGCATCACTTTGATAACCTTGTTTGAAGATTTAACACCAAAACTGTCAAACAAGATAAGGACCAAGGGCATGTGCTTCTTGTTTAGGATGAAGTTCTGCAGCTTGTATTGTAAAACGTGTGCTGCTGGGTTTGGTTTAGCACTGTTTTTTGCAGAGCTGTTGAGATGGGAGAAGTCAATGTGGGAATTTTTAAAATGAAATTTATGACTTTTTCACTGAGGCAAATACAAATCCCTCTGTGCTGAGAAAGAGGAAGGCAAAATTACTGAAAAGAGGCAGTGTGAGCGTGTTGGGC